TTTATAGCATTTTAAAGATTCTTAAACTGTCAACGTACCGTATTCCTCTTTATTCAAGGGACATTACTTGGAATCATTTCAACGTAGTAACGGAACGGAAACAGTAGTATATTACTTCTATGCTCAGACGTTTGAATAATTACTCAGAAAGGCCACACTATCCACCCCTTAGCGTGCACAAGTCGCTCTTTAAGCATCAGCCTACGTCATTCTAACCAGTCTCGCGATTTGCGTTCGGGGAAATAAGCCCGGCCGCCCTTTTACTTCAAAAATACCCTTAGAAAAATAGTAGCAAGCCTTAAAGAGAGGAGAAACAAAATCACGACGGCAGAATGGTCAAGCCCGCAGCCTCGAGATCGGTTGTGGTGAAGATCTCGCATACAATTTCCGGCGGATGAGACTATTTTCTCCGGTGCATTTCATGCCTTACGACGCTTTCCAATCGTATTTTTCTCATTTTTCTTATTGTTTCTCTCATTTCTCTTATACAAACTTACTAGAGACAATTATTCTACTAGTCTTCGTGTGTATTCTTTTTTTTCAAAGACTATTTTTGTCTACTTTTTCCCGAAAGGCAATGCGGTTTCCGACAGATTTTATGATAATATCTTTCCCTCCTCTCCCTGAATGCTACTGCCACATCACATCAAATGCAATGGCACAAAAGCGGGCAACGTTTCGGAATGTTTAAGCGAAAAGGGGGCAAACGAATGGGGCATTTTAACCATTGAACAAGACAGAGCGCCATTATGTGTAGCATGGCGAGCGAGAGAGAGGCAGAGAGAGAGAGAGAGAGAGAGAGAGAGAGAGAGAGAAGAGAGAGAGAGAGAGAGAGAGAGAGAGAGAGAGAGAGAGAGAGAGAGAGAGAGAGAGAGAGGAGAGAGAGAGAGAGAGAGAGAGAATGAGAGAGAGAGAGAGAGAGAGAGAGAGAGAGAGAGAGAGAGAGAGAGAGAGAGGAGAGAGAGAGAGAGAGAGAGAGAGAGAGAGAGAGAATGAGAGAGAGAGACAGAGAGAGAGAGAGAGAGAGAGAGAGAGAGAGAGAGAGAGAGAGAGAGAGAATGAGAGAGAGAGAGAGAGAGAGAGAGAGAGAGAGAGAGAGAGAGAGAGAGAAAGATACCGCAAGACATGGCGAGAGAGAACGAGAGCGAGAGAGAGAGAGAGAGAGAGAGAGAGAGAGAGAGAGAGAGAGAGAGAGAGAGAGAGAGAGAGAGAGAGAGAGAGAGAGAGAGAGAGAATGAGAGATAGATAGATAGATAGATAGATAGATAGATAGATAGAGAGAGAGAGAGAGAGAGAGAGAGAGAAGAGAGAGAGAGAGAGAGAGAGAGAGAGAGAGAGAGAGAGAGAGAGAGAGAGAGAGAGAGAGAGAGGGCAGACAGACAGACAGGCCAGGACGAGATCTGACTGTGGCTCCCCATAGTGTCTCTCCGTCGGTCTGGCGCGCCCTCCAACCATAGTTCTTCTTAAAGGTTCACACTCCTTCTGCTGGTCCACCGCCACAGCTACGTCCCCCTCCTCCTCCTTCTTCTCTCGCTCTTCCTCGCTCTCTCTCTTTCTCCATCCTCTTTTCGTTCCTATTTTTTTTTGCTCGTTCTCCATCTCCTTATTTTTCTCTTGTCGCTTTTCTTTCCTTTCTTCTCTCCTTCTTCATCTGTTCGACTTTGGTACTTTTCTAACTCCTTTTTCTCTTCCATCTCTTCCACCTCCTCACCTTTTCTACTTGTCTCTTCTTCTCCTTCCTCCCTTTCCTCCTACTCCTGACCTTCACTTCTGTTCTACTTTCCAACTTTTCTTCTCCTATTCCTCTTCTTCCCCCTTTTCACTCTCTTCCCTTTCCTGTTCATTTTGCGACTCCTCTTCATATTCCCTTCACTCTTCCTTCCTCTTCCTTTGCCCTTTTATTCTCCATCTCATCTTGTACCACTTTTTCCACCACCGACTCTTCAGCCACTACAACTTTCCCTCCTCTCTCCCTCCCCCTCCCACCACCACCACAGCCTCTTGTCTCCCGCCGTTCCTTCACTAATGTATCACCATCCCCTTCACTACAGCCATTAGTATTATATAATTATGATCCCCTCACTGATCCTAACAACAACATCGTTATAAATTTTCTGAACACTGACTACATGAATTGCTCTCTCCGCACTACAGTATATACTATACGGAATACTATGGACACTATGCCTCAGTAAACTACACATGAATTTTATCTTATGTATGCATTCTAAAAAAAACATTTTCCCAACAGCAAACAACTTCCAAACCAAAAATTCGTCCTTATTCACCCATGGCAGCTTTCCACTGGATGAATGTTCCTCCCCCCCCTCTTCCTCTCCTCTCCTCTCTTCTCTCATACCCATCAACGCACCGACCACCATGACTCATTTTGAGTATCTCTGGTCTCCTTACTAACTGACTCACGCAGACTCACATAAGACATTCCAATTCTTCACATTCTGATCAAGCAGTGCAATTTATTCACCCATGCCCATACGTATTCCCAATCCCTTCCTTACTCACGGCCTCACATATTCCTTGAACCCATCGAACTAACGCATGAGACTCATCCCGACTCACACACCACATACTTCCCTCCCCCTCTTACTCACTGCCTCACATACTCACATACATACCATCTCGCCAGCCAATACACCAGATTCATCCCGACCCGCACGCACCCCCTCCCCCCTCTTACTCAGCGCCCCACGCACTCACCCACTCAGCTAACCCCCACCGAACCAATAGACGAGAAAGTCCGTGTTTGTGTTGCTACTTACAGCAGCAGCCACAGCTATACGGCCACGCTGTTTTAACTTCGGATTATTTGCTGAATACAGGGGCTATTTCTGGACGCGGAGATCGCCGGGCGAACCGCGGAAGCAGACGGATATGACTGACTTTGGAATGATGGCGCGACCGCCGTTCAGGCACGCGGATCAACCGACGTTGCACAAGAGATCGGAAACAAAAAACAAAAGTCCTTACAATAGAAGAAATAATGAGGGTATGGGATACGTGGGGATCTAGATGCATAAAGGACTGTATCTGTAGAAACCTAAAAGAAAAAAGTATGGATGTAGGAGGCTAAATGAGTAAGGATGAAATACAAAGGAAGACGAGCTCAATAGAAAACGAGATCAATAGGGATTAAATACAATGAAAGAAGTGTCTATAGAGGACCAAATGAATAGAAATTCATTACAAAAAATATGGAAAAGCAAATTAATAAAAATGGAAAACACTAGTTTAAGAACAGAGATTCACAATGTTCTCTATCAGAGGAAGTGCACTTATGGTCAGGAGTCCTTGCTTCCGACTCTCTCTCTCTCTCCCTCTCCCCCACCTCTTTCTCTCTCCCCCCCTCTCTCTCCCTCTCTCTTCTCTCTCTCTCTCTCTCTCTCTCTCTCTCTCTCTCTCTCTCTCTCTCTCTCTCTCTCTCTCTCTCTAACTCTCTCTCTCTCTCCCTCTCTCTCCCTCTCTCCCCCCCTCCCCCCCTCTCTCTCTCTCTCTCCCTCTCTCTCTCTCTCTCTCTCTCTCTCTCTCTCTCTCTCTCTCTCTCTCTCTCTCTCTCTCTCTCTCTCTCTCTCTCTCTCCCTCTCTCTCTCTCTCCCTCTCTCTCTCCTCTTCTCTCTCCCTCTCTTCTCTCTCCCTCTCTTTCTCTCTCTCTCTCTCTCTCTCTCTCTCTCTCTCTCTCTCTCTCTCTCTCTCTCTCTCTCTCTCTCTCTCTCTCTCTCTCTCTCAAACACACACACGCTCTTCTCTCTCTCTCTCTCCTTCTCTCTCTTTCTCCCTCTCCCTATCTCTCTCTCTCTCCCTCTCCCTCCATCTCTCTCTCTCTCTCCCCCCCCCCCCCCTCTCTCTCTCTCTCTCTCTCCCTCTATCTCTCTCTCCCTCTCTCTCTCTCCTTCTCTTTCTCTATCCCTCTCTTTCTCTCTCCCTCTCTTTCTCTCTTCCTCTCTCTCTCTCTCTCAAACAAGCACACGCTCTTCTCTCTCTCTCTCTCTCTCTCTCTCTCTCTCTCTCTCTCTCTCTCTCTCTCTCACTCTCTCTCTCTCTCTCTCTCTCTCTCTCTCTCTCTCTCTCTCTCTCTCTCTCTCTCTCTCTCTCTCTCTCTCTCATTTTCTCCCTCTCCCTATCTCTCTCTCCCTCTCCCTCCATCTCTCTCTCTCTCTCTCTCTCTCTCTCTCTCTCTCTCTCTCTCTCTCTCTCTCTCTCTCTCTCTCTCTCTCTCCTCCCTCCCTCTCTCTCTCTCTCCTCTCTCTCCCTCTCTCACTCCCTCCCTCTCCCTCTCCCTTTCTCGTGCGCGCGCGAGCACTGTCTCTCTCTCTCTCTCTCTTTCTCTTTCTCTCTCTTTCAAACACACACTCTCTCATCTTTCTCTCTCGCTCACTCGTTCTCTCAAACACGCACACGCTCTCTTCTCTCCCTCTCTCTCTATCATTCTCCCTCTCCCTGTCCCTCTCTCCCTCTCTCTCTCTCTCTCTCTCTCTCTCTCTCTCTCTCTCTCTCTCTCTCTCTCTCTCTCTCTCTCTCTCTCCTCTCTCTCCCTCTCTCCTCTCCTTCTCTCCTCTCTCCCTCTCACCCTCTTTCCCTCTCACCCTCTCTCTCTCCCTCCCTCCCTCCCTCCCTCCCTCCCTCCCTCTCCCTCTCCTTCTCTCGTGCGCGCGTGTGCACTGTCTGTCTGTCTGTCTGTCTCTCTCTCTTTCTCTCTTTCCCTTCCTCTCTTTATCACTCTCCTCTTTATCTTCGTAAACTCGAAATGTTCCATCTTGAAGAGCATCCCCTGATTATGCAACACTGTTTGTAACTTCTGCGCCAATGTCAACGGAATCTTGACTGCGGCTGTACTTATCGCCTGTGTGCGGTGGCAGACAAAAATCGTGAATGAGGCTTCGAGCTCTACTTAACCCTACAAGCATAGGTCATATATATATCTGTATCTGTACATAAAATGTGTGTTTGTGAGTGTGTTTATGTTTGTTTGGGGTTGTACTTACCATGTGTGGCGGGAGAGCATCTTCGTGGGATGAAAGGTAGTACCACTCAGGCTCGTCATCCAGGGGCGCCGCGTTCAGGTCCACCACCAC